GGGTTTCAGCATAAGGCAGCTTTTTTTTTCTTAGTTCAAATAATTTCCCCCTTAGTATCTCAATATATGCACAGCCCTCAGCATATTTACTCTGAATGAAATATTGCTAAATTCAGTGGCAGTTAACAGAACATTCCAATGCACGTTCATGCAGCAATAATTCATGTTGAGCTTGATGAGACCTATTCCCTACAAAGTGTGTTCAGGATTGCAGCATTAGTGGGGTAAGATAAGGACAAAGTTTGAGAGCACCAGGTCACTGAAAATCTGGGCAGGGGACATTTTAGAAGGCGAGAAAGCACTGCAGAGGGAGGGATCCTGCCTAGAGGCAACTCTACCCATTGATTATTATGTTGAAACAGGAGTAGGCCCTGACTGACTTCACAGTAAAGAGGCAATTAGGAAGGAAGCCAATTCTTTTCCCCCTGCTGAACTGAGTAGAGTAAGTGATTGCTTATCCAGTCAGGGGGGAGATTGTATTACCACGTTGCCTGGTGCTGGTAACACCACACCTGAATTCCTGTGCACCTTTTGACCTTAAGAGAGTAGAACTGCAAAGCAATTAAAACCGAGTGTTGAACTGTGCATCCAGAAATGCCATATGGTTAGGAATGGCAGAGAAATTCAATTAAGTTTTCATTTAAATGTGGACTTACCTCATTTGCACTTTGTGAAACAATATGTGAAATGAAGCACAGTCATCTTTTGCAATTCACACTGTCTGAATTTTGCAAAGCAGTCCTCCAGCCATATAGCATAAATGCATACACTGGGGTAAAGTGTGCCTTATAGATGCATATATTAGTGACTGTAACCTAACAAAGATGCATCGTATTTTCCTTTGCAAAAACAAACAAACAAAAGTTTATATTAGGCAAAAATGCATACATATCAAGCCCAGTAATATGTACAAAAATGCTTATGCTGGAGGAAAGCCTGTATATAAATGCATATGCTAGTGATAGTAATTTGCAGAAATGCATTATAATAGAGGACACAGCGGTGCAATAATGTTTCTATGATGCAAAATTGCATACAAAAAAAATGTGCATTTTAGGAGAAATTGACCTGCTGGTGAATTTTCACCTGGGATGGATACATGAGAGATAGACGGATAGATGATAGATAGACAAGCAGATAGATATCGGTCATGAAATCATAGAATCGTAGAATTGTAGAGTTGGAAGGTACCCTGAGGGTCACCCCCTGCAATGCAGGGATCTCAACTAAATCATGCACGATAGATAGGGCCATCCAACCTTTGATTAAAAACTCCCAATGAAAAAGACTCCACCACCTTCTGAAGGAGCCAGTTCTTACCATCAGAAAGTTCTTCCTAATGTTTAGTTGGAGTCTCCTTTGAATGCATTGGATCGGGTCCTCCCCTCCAGAGCAGGAGAAAACAAGCTTTCTCTATCTGCCATGTGACAGGCCTTCAGATATTTGAAGATAGCTATCATATCTCCTCTGAGTCTCATCCAGGCTAAGTCTTATCCAGTCTTATCCACCAGGCTAAACATACTCAGTTCTCTAAACCATTCCTCATGAAGCTTGGCTTCTAGACCCTTTATCATCTTGTCCACCTTCCTAAACATTCATACAAACAAATGAGGATACAGTGGACGCTCGAGTTGTGAACGTGATCCGTGCAGGGTGCACGTTCACAACCCACAGCGTTCGCAACCCACGTCTGCTCATGCTCGGGTTGCGATTAGGCTCTTCTGCACATGAGCAAAGTGTGATTTAGCGCTTCTGCGCATGCGCAACCGCCAAAACCCAGAAGTAACCTGTTCTGGTACTTCCGGGTTTCGGTGGTCCACAACCCAAAAAAACGCAACCTGAAGCGGCTGTAACCCAAGCTATGACTGTATATGGAGAACTGAACTTAATATTGGAAAAATGAGGAACTGATAGAAACCAAAATTTACCTATCACTTCTCTATTTACCCAATACCAACAACTTGTTTTTGAAAATATTTTCCCCTGTGAACCTTTCATGAATAATGTCATCATCTATCTTACCACCCACCCCATCTTTCGCTGTAAAATAGAAAAATGGAAGAGGAACCTGCTGCGGGAAAAGGCTGTTTTGGGCCTCCTTTCTTTTATTTTCTTTCCTTTGAATACTTTCAAGCTGAAAGCATTGAAAACGGGATATTTAAACAAACGTGGGAGTGCCAAGATAGAATCTTACGTCATGAGCATAGCAACTGTAGGCACAAACTCTCTCTGTCCCTCCCTCCATTTCAAATGGCAAGAAAGCAATCCATTCACTTGCCAGGAGGCTGTTAGGTTGCCAACCTAATAATGCTTCTTGGCCATACGGAAAGGGGAAAATGAGGGTGTGATCCTGAAATGGACTTATTTGAACTTAAATATCCCAATGGTTATTGTTGAGGAAAGGGGCCATTCAGAGGCAGAGTGGATGTTCTGCATTGCACTTCAGTTCTGCCATATCCCAATGAAAAGGATCTTCTGTAGCAGATTTGGGAAATATCTGTGCCAGTGATCCTGGAGAACCACTACCAGTTGATTCCTGCCTTAAGAATGTCTTGCAGGTTTTGATGGAGCTGCGTATTAGCCTAAAAAACCCCCGCACATAACTTTTCAAGGAGCAAGAATAATCAAAACAGATAATTATACAAATATTCCAATCCCTGACTTCTTTCCTTGAAAGGAGCAGTGCCGGATTTACGTATAAGCTAAACAAGCTATAGCTTAGGGCCCCCCAAAAAATTAAAGGGAAAAAAAACCCTGGATGTACATTTCCAAAATATAAGATAAAAATAAAATAAAATAAAACCTACATACAGCAACAGTGTTTTGTGTTGTGTAGGCTTCTATGATGTAAGTAATGGGCCCCGCCTGCTAGCCTGTTCCCTAAAATATCACATTTAAAGGGCCCCATTACCTTCAGTAGCTTAGGGCCTCATCAAACCTAAATACGGCCCTGGAAAGGAGTACAAAGTGGGGGTGGATAGACAGCATGTCTACTCAAAAGTAAGTCCCATTGAATTCAACGAGGCTTAATAAAAGGTAAAGGACCCCTGACAGTTAAGTTCAGTCATGAACGACTCTGGGGTTGTGGTGCTCATCTCGCTTTACTGGCCAAGGGAGCCGGTGTTTGTCCACAGACAGTTTTTCCGGGTCATGTGGCCAGCATGGCTAAGCTGCTTCTGGCGAAACCAGAGCAGCGCACGGAAACGCCGTTTACCTTCCCACCAGAGCGGTACCTATTTATCTACTTGCACTTACTCTGCGGTAAATAGATAACAGTAATACAGCCAAAGGCAAAGGCTCATCAGCCCCAAAAGCTCACATGTTCTCCCTTCCAGCAACCAAGTAGTTGAGGAGCTATTCCTCCAATCCTATAGACTAGGGCTGGGGAATTGAATGTGGTCCTCCAAGCCTCTCTATCTGGCTCTCAGGAATCTCCCCAGGCCACTTCCCTTACCCAGCCAAACCCTCTAGTGGACCTGCTTTCCTTGGTTTTTACCTGGCTAGGATGTGCTTCTCCTTTTACTGCCCCTTCCCCCACTGCCTTCTCTCACCACGGCCAACATTTGAATGGCTTTGGGGCAGAGGCGTTCTAAGTAACCACAACTTTGAAGTTGTGTTGAATAACTTTTAAACGCCGGTCCTAAGCATTCCAACATAAATCCCACATGATTCTGCAATGTCTCTGCAATTTCTCATTGCTGTTTTATTTATTAGCTCCCCTCTGCCATGGGGCTGCTGTTGCTGCTGCTCCTATTCCCCCCCCCAACTGTTCAAGACAGTGTGGTTTTCATGATGGATCAGGAGTGGGAAGATCCAGATTCAAATTCATATTCCCCCATAGCACTTAGTACATTGGGTACCCAAACACCGGACATTGGAAACTGCCTTAAAGGTAAAGGGACCCCTGACCATTAGGTCCAGTTGTAGCCAACTCTGGGGTTACAGCGCTCATCTCGCTTTATTGGCTGAGGCAGCCGGCGTACAGCTTCCAGGTCATGTGGCCAGCATGACTAAGCCACTTCTGGCAAACCAGAGCAGCGCACGGAAATGCCATTTACCTTCCCGCCAGAATGGTACCTATTGATTTACTTGCACTTTGACGTGCATTCGAACTGCTAGGTTGGCAGGAGCAGGGACCGAGCAACAGGAGCTCACCCTGTCGCGGTGATTTGAACCGCTGACCTTCTGATCAGCAAGTCCTAGGCTCTGTGGTTTAACCCACAGCGCCACCTGCGTCCCTGGAAACTGCCTTAAACTGAGCCAAACCACTGGTCCATCTAGTTCTATATTGCCCCTACAGGATTTCAGGATTTCTGTCCCAACCCTACCTGGAAAAGCCGGGGATTAAACCTGAGACTTTCTACATGCAAGGCAGATGTTCTGCCACTGAGCTATGCCTGTTCCCCAATTGCCCAGACCCAGTAGTTCAGGGGTAGACTGACTCCAACTGGAGTCCTGCTGCATCTGCACCCATTACAGGGAAACAGTTGATGGCCGGTTTGTAGATGCACACACTCCAACTTGTGTTTGTCCCTTAACATTTCCATACTCCTCTGCAGAGCAATTCAAACAGGATTTCTGTACCTCTCATCCAAGCATAAGGTTAGGTCTTCCATCCTTGTTTTGTACAGTGGTACGTCTGGTTGCGAACGAGATCCATTCTGGAGCCCCGTTCGCAACCTGAAAGGAATGCAACCCACATCTGCGCATACGCGGGTCACGATTTGCCGCTTCTGTGCATGCACATAATGTCATTTTGCGCATCTGTGCATGCATGTGAGGCGAAACCCTGAAATAACCCTTTCTGGTACTTCCGGGTTGCCGCGGTATGCAACCTGGAAACACGTAACCTGAACCGAACGTAACAAGAGGTATGACTGTAGTGCATTCGGTGGTTGACAATTGAATGATCCCAACGACAATTTATTATCATGACAAATCTGGAAGATGGATTCTTCACATGTTGGTGTCTTCTTACTTCTTTTCCTCTTTCTGCCTAGGCTGGAATGATCAGAGTGGGTGAAGATGAATATTTCATTGAGCCACTGGAGAAAGGGAAACAAATGGATGAAGAGAGAGGGAGGAGTCACATGGTCTATAGGAGGTCGGCCATTGCACAAGATCCAGGAGATATACTCCCTGACATCCTCAGTGAAGGTATTTCTTATGTCTATGCTTATTTGAACTCGCTGACTGCATTGGGGCTGATCACAAAAGGCTAGCATCCCCATTGCCTTGCATGCTTCCACTCTCCATCCCCGAAGGATGTTAGAAGCTTTTGTTTTCCAGTTTTGATTAACCATAGTTTGGCATTCCATCAGAACTTTAAATTGTGGCTAATCTTAAGTATATTGTGTTGAAGCAAGCCAGCTTCATAAACCATTGTGTGAAACTGACATTTCCTATATTAACTACAGTTTAGGATTGTATCAGAACTCAGAACTGTGGCTAATCTTAGGTATATTTTGTTGAAGCAAGCCAGCTGTGTGAAACTGAATTATTTCAGACAAACCATAATTCAGATTAACCACAGTTTATCAGGGTTTGGGCAATGCCACAACTTCTGGTTAATCAAATGTGGAAACACAATCTTATGAACAGCATTGTGAATTGTGCTTGGAAACATACTGGGAACCAATGTAGATCTTTTAGGACTGGTGTTTTATGTTCCTGGTGGCCGCTCCCAGTCACCAGCCTAGCAGCCACATTCTGGATTAATTGTAGCTTCTGCGTCATCTTCAAAGGTAGCCCCACATAGAGTGCATTGCAGTAGTCCAAGCGGAAGATAACCAGAGCATGTACCACTCTGGCGAGACAGTGCGCAAGCAGGTAGAGCATCAGCCAGTGTACCAGATGGAGCTGGTAAACACAAACAGTGTAGGCTAGGCTCATTCTTAACATCAAGGTTTAGTGTTATGTCTGTACATGGCCACTGTCACCATGAACATTTCTTTGTTTTATCTTTTTTCAGGGAGACAGGTGGATAGCTTTGAATAAGTTGGTCAAAATTTGCGGGTTTCTTATATTAACTGTGGAAATTTAATAAAAACAACATTGTAGAAGATCAGCAGCAAAAGCGGTGTGGATTTGTTGATTGGATTCTTTTTTGCAGATCCTGAGCATTGATTTGATTAAAAACTTAAAATACTCTTTTAGGACTGGATTCACACAGTGATACAAACTACTTGTTGAGTTTGGTTCAAGTAGGATTGAGTTGCATGCGACTGTTGAAGGTGATGCTGAATAAGCTATGTGCACTGAAAACTTTGGACAAATTCAGTGTTGGCCTATGATACTGACATTTAACGAGAAAGGAAATGATGTGTTAAACTCAAGGATGATAGCTTCATCTGCTAAATGGAGCTTCCATGTTTAAGCAATAGTGTGTTGCGGAATACCGGTTGCTGGTGGCCTTCTGTGGAGAAGAGCTGTCACCTTCAAACCCTGCTTCGGGGCTTCTTGTGATGTTCTTTTGCAGTGGTAGACTATGTGGTACCTGCCAGATGTTGTTGGACTGCAATTCCCATCACCCCCAGCCAGCATGGCCAATAGTCACAGGTGGTGGGAGTTGCGTCCAACAACACTGAGGATAATGGAAGTTGTGTGCTCTCCCGAAGTCAATGGACTACAACTCCCATCATCTCTGACCATTGGCCATGCTGGCTGGGGCTGATGTGAGTTCAGCAGCATCTCGAAGGCTCTAACTTGGCTACCCATATTGGTTGGGGAGTTTTTTTGATAGCGGTGATGGGGATAGATAATGTGATACCAGCTATGCACTGAACCACCAAGGGGAATTTCCCTTTAAGACCTCAGGAAATAGCTGTTGTTTTTAAAAGCTGAACTGTGAAATTAATTGAGTCCGTGGTCTATGATACATCACAATATGATTACAGGGACTTGTAGTTCATGGCCAATCAGCAGTGCAGTTATATAATTTTAGACTCTGGACTTAATGGTCTTAGGTGCGGGACATCTTTGGAGGTAATATCTTGCTTACTTCAAATGGTGCTATGCCCCCTCCTTAACTCGCTTACTAAAAATTGAGGCAAGCCAACCATGCTGAGTTTGGGGGCCCTACTACTCATTCTACCAAGGGGGACCCTGGGCCTGGCTTGACTATGGTCAATTGTCCCATGAGAATCCAGTGTGTAGGATGAAGGGCGTGAGAAAGAGCAAAAGACGCATCTCATACGTGTGCCCCAGAGATTACCAATGTGGTCACCACTGTGATCCCTGTGGGTGCAGTGGAAGACTTGAGGTCTTTCCCTGGTGCCTGTAACATCTCTTACCTGCCCATCACTGCCACCGCAGTCAGGAGGTGTTGAGGGCACTTACCTTCCTTCCCATGAAAAGTACACGAAGGAGGAAGTTGGGAAAGTGATATTCTTTCTCATGTCCTCTTTTACCTCCATGCAGTTTTCAAAGCTCTGATTAATGCTTTTACCCAGATCCCACAAGAAAGCAGAATGTGAGCATATACAGTCTCTTGGGAAGAGGGCTTATACAGGAGGCAGGATGAAGTGTGGAGAGCAGTTGGTGCCCATGGCACTCACTCAAATTTCAAAATTGTGCCCACAGGCTGAAGAAGTTCAGTAACACCTGAAGTACTCTGTGACCCATTCAGCTTCTTTCACTCACTGGCTTTTCTTAATGCCCTATATTTCATTTCCATTTCCACTTACAGATAAACTAGGGGATAAAACTGAGATTTTAACATTATCTACTGTCTGAGCACATCACTCTTTTGGAGTAATTGTTTTCCCTGGATATGTCTGTAGGCAAGCGGAATGCGGTTGACCCACCTTAAAACAATGATTGTCCAGACTATTCAGCAATATCTTTTCCCCCTCCCTCTTTTCAAAAATTATATAGATGATTGAGAAGCCAAGTGGTTCGTAAACAAACAATGAATTCTCTCAAAGATGCTTGGAAGCTCTCAAGAGTGCGTTCCAATGGATGTAAAGAATATAACAAATGACTCTCTTCTATATTTAATTACTCCCTAGCTTACTAACGTGGCTCCATTGTATAGATGTGTTGGATACGGAAACATTATTATTATTAATGCATTAATAGAAATATTACTATGGTGTGGCTCATTTTCAGGGCACCTTAGCATTTATTTGGAATTTTGGTGGATGTGGTGCTTGGAGCTTATTTTATTGTTGCAAAATAGCCAAGCATGGTGTGCACCTTTTTCTTTCAATAAAATCTTTCTTCAGCACTTTGCAGCCTCCCTGGCTGCCTACATTTTATGAACGGGACTCTCCTACCCCAGTGGGAGAAGTTAACCACATGAGGCTTTCTCCTGGCCTTCACTGAAGTATGGGCATCCACTTTTGATGGCTTTAAAAGAGGATTAGACGAATTCATGGAGGGTAAGGCTATTAGCCACAATGGCTATGCTTTTCCTTCAGAGGAAAATCATTTTCCTGGATACCAGGAATTTCATGGGTAGAGTGTTGTTGCAGTCCTGCCTTTGGGCTTCCCAACCTGCGGGTTCCCAGATGTTGTTGGACTACAACTTCCATCATTCCCGAGCTCTGGCCTTGCTAGGTAGGAGTGATGGGAGTTGTAGTTCTACAACATCTGGGGACCCACAGGTTGAGAAAGGCTGCCATAAGGCATCCGGTTGGTTACTGTGAGAACAGGATGCAAGACTTGGTGGACCTTTGACTTGATCCAACAAGGTTCTTCTTATGTTCCTAAGGCAGAAGGGACCCGTTTTTTCCACTTAGGAGCCAGCAACTCTGCTTTGACATACTCTCCAACATTTCTCCAATGACAATAGGGATGTCTTATTCAATAATAATAATAATAATAATAAAAATACCCCATCCATCTGACTGGGTTGCCCTAGCCACTTTTGGCAGCTTCAAACATATATAAAAACATAATAAAACATTTTTTAAAAAACCTTCCCTATACAGGACTGCCTTCAGATGTCTTCTAAAGGTTGTATACAGTAGTCTCTTTGACGCAAGGGGGGGTGGGGGTCGCATAATTCCATATCCTCCAATGACAATAGGGACTTGCTATCATGGACTGCAAGAAGATCAAACCTATCCATTCTTAAGGAAATCAGCCCAGAGTGTTCACTGGAAGGACCGATCCCGAAGCTGAGGCTCCAATACTTTGGCCACCTCATGAGAAGAGAAGGCTCCCTGGAAAAGACCGTGATGTTGAGAAAGATTGAGGGCACAAGGAGAAGGGGACAACAGAGGACAAGATGGCTGGACAGTCTTCTCGAAGCTGCTAACATGAGTTTGACCAAACTGCAGGAGGCCATGGAAGACAGGAGTGCCTGGTGTGCTCTGGTCCATGGGGTCATGAAGAGTTGGACCCGACTAAATGACTAAACAACAACAATCATGCTCTCCAACATTTCTCCAATGAAAATAGGGATGCCCTAAAGAAAAGTGGGATATTCTGGGATCAAATCAGAAACTGGGACGGCGTCGGTAAATCCAAGACTGTCCCTGGAAATAGGGACACTTGGAGGGTCTGCTTTGAGTAACAGTAGAGCTCTTTTGCTTTAGGGCAATTGAATACATGTACAGTTCTCAGAGCCACCTGCCCATGACCACAGGGCTTTTACAAATCAAAGACACTTCCATGGCTCTTAGGACTGAAACTTCTCTTTCCTCCCTCCCTCCTGGTCATTAGACACTTAACTTACATGGGCTCTTGAGGAGTCTGGAGGACAAATCCAGTCTAAGAAGATTGTTATTTATAAAGGTGGAGTGCTGTGCGATTGGCTTAGCTCTGGGTTGCCGCAACGGGCATTGTAATTAAGGAAGCCAAGTCACCTGAGGGAGAGTGTGTGGGAGGCATCTTGCCAATCCATTTACAGACCTGAAGGTTGATTACATCCAGCAGATGTGAGCTTCCCACCTCATTCTTATCATTGCGGAGAACAGATTGAGCACACTTCGGAATTATAATGCTGATTAAGGTGGAGTTGGGGAGGGGTGGAGATTGTAACCAGGGTGGACTTGGGGGAGGGGTGGCATTCACCTAAGTCCTCCTCAGTCAAGCCCCATTAAAACTAATGAATCTAGCTTATTCTTTTCAGTTAACTTCAGTGGGTCTACTCTCAGTAGGACTAGCGGGGAATACCCCTCTCACTGCTGCAGCAATACTGATTGCTTCAA